TTTTCAAAGGTAGTTCTCTAATTGAGTGGGAGGATAACTTATAACCAGAATTTGAATTTTTAAAAAGAAATCATTTTAGCCTGAAGAGGTTCTGGATTCTTAGACTGTAGAAAGTGAGTAGGAAGGGATCTGTCACAGGTTTGTGCTGTGCTTCTTTGCACGGAAGAAGATTCAGTAAAATATTATACCAAAGAAATCAATCTGAATTGAGGGACAGAATATAAATTTTAGTTACTCTGTCCCCATTTGGCATATAATATCTGACCTCAGTTAATAATGTAGAATGAATGAGTTTGCCCATATTATCTAAGTTTATTTTCAACTTTAAGGCTTTCTGATTTTAAGTTAAGTCAGGGATTAGATTTTTAAGTGCCAACTGAACATGTGACACTTGCATATATAATATACAGAGTACTGCAAGGAGTGTGACAAGGGAAGGCCTGCCCCGGGAGGATTTTAAGTTTGTGCGCCCTCTCGTGGCCATTTAATCCCCCATTTCTCTTGCAGATTTAAGTGTTTAGAGTAACATAGGTTGTCCAGTTTAAAAAAAAAGGAAGGAAGGAAGGTCTAGCAGTTTAAGTATTCAGTTGAAAAGATTGCTTACTTTGTTACTACAAACTGTGCTTTCTTTGAAATTATTTTGCTAAAAAGCAAGGTAAGTCTTACCTCTGTTGGAGGTTGAAAAAGAGAATGCAAAATGAATTATGTTAAACTTCTGAGAATTATATAGTTACAGGCTGATAATTGTGTATTTGGGAAGGTTACTAAGAGTCCACCTGCTGATGCAGGGGACAGGGGTTCGTGCCCCGGTCCGGGAAGATCCCACATGCCGCGGAGCGGCTGGGCCCGTGAGCCATGGCCGCTGAGCCTGCGCGTCCAGAGCCTGTGCTCCGCAACGGGAGAGGCCACGACAGTGAGAGGCCCGCGTACCACACACACAAAAAAAGAATTGATATCTATAATGATTGGTAGGCTAATTAGTTAAAAAGCTGATTCTGAGCGGGAGACAGTAAGTGACCAGAAACAAGTAAGGGGAGACATATATGTATGTTCTTAGAAATTTATGCACTTGTACAGCTAACAAAAAATGAACTCATGTAACAGCTGAGCTATGAGTTCTTTAGGTAGCTGAGGAAATGATCTTGTGGGAGTGGTTTGAGAAATAAATGAGCAAATGAATGAATGTTTTATTTTCTTGGCATAAGAGAGGTGGGCTACATATTCAGTGGAATATTACTCAGCCATACCTTACTTTAAAAATACTGTATTGCCGAAAGAAAGCTAACCATCATCTGGGCCTTCAGCAGGCCGTAGTCTTTTTGCAGGTGGAGGGTCCTGCCTCCGTGCTGGTGGCTGCTGGCTGATCAGGGTGCTGGCTGCCGAAGGTGGGGCGGCTGCGGCAGTTTCTTAAAGTGAGGCAGTGATGATGTTTGCCGTGTGGATTGACGCTTCCTTTCAGGAACGGTTTCTCTGTTACATATGATGCTGTTCGATAGCATTTTACCCACGGTAGCATTTTTTCAAAATTGGAGTTGTTCCTCTCAGACCCTTGTGCTGCTTTATCAACTAAGTTTATGTCATATTCTAAATCCTTTGTTGTCATCCAGCGATCTTCACAGCATCCTCACCAGGAGTAGATTCCATCCCAAGAAACACTTTTCTTTGCCTCTCCGTAAGAAGCAACTCCTCATCTGTGAGAGTTTTATCCTGAGACTGCAGCAATTTAGTTATTGGGTTGGCCAAAAAGTGCCTTCGGTTTTTAATTAAAATAAAGGGCACATTTTTCATTTTCACCAAGAACTTTATTGAACAGTATAGTCACCTCTTTTTCCCACTACCTTCTGCCATTTTTCAGGCAACTTCATAACTGCATCTTCCAAAACTTTTTATCTTCTTGAGCAAAGGACTGTTCCAGATGCCTTTTACAGTCTTCCAGGGAATTGAAATTTTTTCCATTAAGAGAATTTTGTAAAGACCGAAATAACTGGAAATCCAAAGGTGCAATGTCTGGTGACTACGGCGGTGGAATCAGAACTTCCCAGCCAAGCTGTAACAGTTTTTGCCTGGTCATCAAAGAAATATGTGGTCTTGTATTATTCTGATAGAAAACTGTGCATTTTCTGTTGACTAAATCTGGGTGCTTACTGTCGAGTGCTGCTTTCAGTTGGTGTAATTGGGAGCAGTACTTGTTGGAATTAATCGTTTGGTTTTCCGGAAGGAGCTCGTAATAGAGGACTCCTTTCCAATCCCACCATATACACAGCATCACCGTCTTTGGATGAAGACTGACCTTTGATGTGGTTGGTGGTGGTTCATTTCCCTTGCCCCACGATCTCTTCCGTTCCACATTGTCGTGCAGTGTCCACTTTTCATCTCCGGTCACAGTTTGTTTTAAAATCGGAACATTTTCATTACGTTTCAGTAGGGAATGGCATGCGGAAATACAGTCACGAAGGTTTTTTTCACTTAACTTACATGGAACCCAAACGTCAAAGCGATGAACGTAACCACGCTGGAGCAGATGATTTTCAGCGCTTGCTTTGGATATTTTGAGTATGTCGGCTGTCTCCCGCGTGGTATAACGTTGATTGTTCTCAATTAATGTCTCAATTTGATCGCTATCAACTTCAACTGGTCTACCCGACCATGGAGCATCGTCTAGCGAGAAATCTCCAGCACGAAATTTTGCAAACCAGTTTTGACACGTTGGATCAGTCACAGCACCTTGTCCATACACTGCACAAATCTTTTATTGTGTTTCATTTGCATTTTTACCTCTCTTGAAATAATAAAGCATAATTTAGAATTTGACATCTTGATGTCTTTGTTTTAAAAGCACGCTGATATGACAGCTGTCACATACAGGCTAACAAAATTGTTTTGAATGAAGTTAAAGACAACTAAGTGCTACTAGAGACATCTTACAGAAAAAACTGAGTGAACCTTTTGGCCAACACCATACATCTTCAGGCTCCACTTCTAATTTTAGTTCTCATGCTGTTTTCACCACATCTGCAGTTCCTTCCTCCATGAAGTCTTAAACCCCCCTCCAAGTCATCCATGAGGGTTGGAATCAACTTCTTCCAAACTCCTGTTAATGTTTGGACCTCTTCCCATGAATCACGAATGTTCTTAATGGCATCTAGAATGATGAATCCTTTCCAGGTTTTCAAGTGACTTTGCTCAGATCCATCAGAGGAATCACTGTCTGTGGCAGCTGTCTCCTTACAAAATGTATTTCTTAAAGAATAAAACTTGAAAGTCAAAGTGACTCCTTGATCCGCGGGCGGCAGAATAGACGTTATATTACCAGGCGTGAAAACAACATGAATCTCGTTGTCCGTCTCCACCCGAGCTCTGGGGTGACCAGGTGCATTGTCAACGAGCAGTCACATTTTGAAAGGAACCTTGTTTTCTGAGCAGTACATGGCTTAAAACACTCAGTAAGCCATGTTGTAAACAGATGTGCTGTCATGCAGGCTTTCTGTCCCATTTAGAGAGCACAGGCAGCACAGATTGAGGGTAATTCTTAAGGGCCCTAGGATTTTTGGAACGGTAGATGAGCATTGGCTTCCACTTAAAGTCGCCAGCTGCATTAGCTCCTAACAGGAGAGTCAGCCTGCCCTCTGAAGCTTCACAGCCTGGCAGTGACTTCTCCTTTCCAGCTATGAAAATCCTAGATGGCATCTTCTTCCAATAGAAGGCTGTTTCGTCTACCTTGAAAATCTGTTCCCCTTCATGAATTATCTCAGCCGGATCTTCTGGATAACTTGCTGCAGCTTCTCCATCAGCACGTGCTGCTTCCCCTTGCACTTTGTTGTTATGGAGACGGCTCCTTTCCTTCAGCCTCATGGACCAGCCTCTGCTGGCTTCAGACTTTGCTTCTTCAGCTTCCTCATCTCTCTCAGCCTTCAGGGAGTTAAAGAGAGTTAGAGCCTTGCTCTGGATTAGGCTTTGGCTTAAGGGAATGTTGTGGCTGGTTTGATCTTCTGTCCAGACCATTGAAACTTTCTCCACATCAGCACTAAGACTATTCGATTTTAACTTCCTTCAAGAACTTTTGTTCCGCATTCACAACTTGGCTGTTTGGTGCAGAAAGCCTACTTGTGGCCAATCTGGGCTTTTAACGTGGCTTCCTCGCTAAGCTTAATCATTTCTAGCTTTTGATTTAAAGTGAGAGACATGCAACTGTTCCTTTTCTTGAACACTTGGAGACCCCTGTAGGGTTACTCATTGGCCTAATTTCTGTATTGTGTCTCAGGGACTGGGGAGGCCCAAGGAGAGGGAGGGAGATGGAGAACCACTGGTGGGTAGAGCAGTCAGAACACACACAATGTTTTTTGATTAAGTTTGCAGTCTTATATGGGTGTGGTTCGTGGCTCCCCCATAACAGTTACAGAGTAACATCAAAGATCACTGATCACAGAGCACCGTAGCAAATATGAAAAGTTTGAAATATTGTGAGAATTGCCAAAATGTGACACAGAAACACAAAGTGAGCAAATGCTGTTGGAAGAATGCTCCACGCAGGTCGCCACAGAGTTTCAGTTTGTAAGCAGCGTGATATCTGTGAAGCACAGTAAAGGGAAGAGCGGTAAAACAAGGTCTGCCTGCACATCATATCAGGTTCCATTAGTGCCGGTGGCCTCTGCTCTGCTCGCGAGGACCCGGGGCCTGCCCGGCAGCAGGAGCGAGCAAGTATAATACACTGTTATATAATAGTGTGGAATGTTCATGTGAAGGTTTTAAATGCTTAGGAACAATTACATTAAGATTAAATTTCTACATTCACTGTTTTGGGGTCCTCGTGTCCGGTTTATCAGTTCAAGTTCAATGATTGTGTTTAAGTTTATGATAATGAATGCTCTAAGCTTTATCACACTATGCTTCTTCATAGGCTACATTACACTAACTTTATCAAAACTATGCCTAATTGGGGCTTAAAAGTCTTGTTCAGTTTATTTGAAAAAAAATAATAAATCTGATTATTTACTTTAAAGCTGCAGAAGAAAGAAGATCAGCAATTGGAGCCTAAAAAAAGTACCAGCCCTAAAAAAGCTGCAGAGCCCACTGTTGATCTGTTAGGACTCGGTAAGTAGTAAAAAAATACAAGTCATCATTAATTAGAGTTACAAAACAATTGAAACGTTTACTTGAAACGAATATAATAGCTTTATCATCAGTGTGCCAAAAGATACCTGTTAATTGAATTTGAAAATGGTATGATTAGTGTTTTGAGTTCCCACCAAAAGGGAAATCTTTAATAAGGGAGCTGGTGTCTGTCAGCAGTGCCTTCATGGAAATACAAGTAATGAGTTCCTTGGGGAGAGAGGATAACAAAGTACTCTTCAAAGGCTTGGTGGACTGTGACATCTCAGCATTTGAAATGTTTTCTCCCCCCACCCCACCCCGCCTTCTCTTTATTTAGTTTTGTTGGAAGGGGGGTCCCTTAGCAAAATAATTATGGTGTAGCCTTATTATAACATGTGCTGTTTTAAAGGACACTTTAATTTTGGTTAGCTGAAGCAACATGCTTTATACCTAGATCTAGTGGCTAGATTCATTTTATGTGTCTGATGACAATAAGAATGTCTGTGCTCATTTTAATGTCATATTTATTCTTATGGCCGACAGATAGATGTTGTCTGCCTGGTGAGTAAACAGACGTCCATTCAAGGAGTGCTTGTACTGTCCTTATCTACAAATACTGTCAGCTCTTTTTACATTTTTCTCCTCTTCCTTTTAAAATAGCTTGATAAATGGTTATTTTTAGTAATATCTGAGCCTTCAGCAGTAATTAATTTAGAGATTTTTTTTAGTTTAGGGAAAGATTAATAACAGGAAAACAGTGAAAGATAGTTGGAAGGTAGAGTCGACCTTCATACACTGCTTTTCTAAAAATTGATCTTTGTTCTATTGAGAAAATTGTTTTCTGTCTTAAGAATTACAACTGAATGTTTTTGTCTTACTTAGGAAACTGGTGTATCATGCAGATATACCCCCTATAGATAAACATCTTCTATGGTGGTGAAAATAAGTGGTATATCAGAAATATAAAAATAGGGCTTAGTCCAGGGGCTCTAAATATAATTGTGTTGAATACTAGTTCTCATAATTTCTGTATTTTATTTCCTTTGCTATAAATGAGAAAAAAGACTTACTGCCACAGTACGGAAGGATCCTACTAGGACTCCACGCGCCTTTGTCTCGGCGGCAGCATTTCCTCCCCGGCCGTGAGTGCCTGGTTATCGGTCCATAACTTAGAAACATAAGAGCTGAGCCAGGCCTGGCCCTTACCCTACAGACTCGCTCACTGACCTCGCACCTCCTCCTGAAGTGTCTGCCGCGTGTCCGGGCGCCGTCGTAGGCACTGGGGAGAGAGCTGTGAGGGAAGACAGACGAAGGTACCTGACCCCTGTCTGGGGAAACAGTGAAGAGATAGTTAAGTAAGATACGTCATGGTCATGTTTGCTAAGTGCTGTAGCTAAAAGAGAACGAAAGCAGTGGTGTGATTTTAAGCAGGGTTCGGGGGGTGGGCGTTGGGGGCCCCCTGAGATACCGTCGGAGGGAAGACCTGAGGAGGCTGGGGCTCCCTGGCCGTGCGCGGTGAGGCCAGGGCGGGTGCAGTGGCCCTGGGCATCCCCGCCGGGAGCGGGCGGGGCCAGGAGGAGGGCCCTGGCGTGGCTGCTGGCGAGTGACCCTGGGACCTGACTAAGGCTGCTACTCTGAGTGTCCTGGAAATGCATTGGAGGATTCAAGCAAAGAAGTACCTCATCCGACTTGGGTTTTTTAGGAGCCCTTACGGCTACCCTGTTGAGAATAGTGTAGCAAGGCGAGGCTGCAGGCTGGGGAGACAGGTGGAAGGGGGGAGTGGCCACGGGAGCTGCGAGAAGTAGCCGGTTCTGGGCCTGCTTTGAGAGAGAGCGCCAGTGGGGTTTGCTGCTGGGTGGAAGTTGTAGGGTGTTTCCCTTGGGGAGTGACCCTGCGGGACAGGCGGGCCTGCTAGGCGGTCCCCAGGAGCCGCGCCCGGGGGACAGGTGGCGGAACTGGTCTCGGGTGCCCAGCCCTTGGTGCGGTGCTGCTGCGTAGTGGCGAGCCTGGAGCTCGACCCCTGACCTCGGCAAACGCTTGTTCCTCTCGCTCTCAGTGCGTGGGTCAGCGCGGGCGTCTCTGCCTTCCAGCCGTTCACTGTCACACGGTATCTCCGTTTGTCGAGCTCCTGTCCGCGTGTCCCTGCCTTCCACCACCCAGTCTCAGAGTCCCTGGGTTTTAGGGTTTGGGGACGGCAGCACCCCTCTTCTGGTGTCAGTGTCTGGGAGAGTCAGCCGCGCTGGCAGCGGTTCCTCTTCTCTCACTCACGGGCCTGTGATCGGGAAGGCTGCTGTCTTTTTAGACGGGGGAGAGCGTCAGGAACCCGTGTCCTTAGGGGAGAACCGAGGTCTGCTTAGGGCAGGAAGGAGTGGCAGTGTTTGAGGGAGAGGTTAAGGGCGTAGAGAGGGCTTTGTGGGCGATGGGCGATTCTGGATCATGAGCTGGAATAGCTCCAGAGGTGGCAGGGTGGGCGCTAGGGTCAGAAAGAGGGATTGGGGGTCTTGCTGAGGGAGTGTTAGCAGCAGGAGACCGAGAGCCCTACCCAGAGCACATTGCAGCGCTTCCCTCCTGCTGCTTCTCAGTAACCTGAAAGGCACTTCCAGACTTTCAGAGAACAGCACTCCCAAACCGGATCGATAGTTGCTGTCGCCCTTGAGCAGCAGACTGTTTTTCTGCTGCCCAAGGTGAGCGTGGCGCTCTGGTTTTCCCCTGTAAAGTGAGACACAGTGGGGAGGAGGGGCAGGTGCCTTGCAGTCTGATTTATGGTCGTGCAGAAAAGATGGCATATCCCCATGTGAATGAGACCAGAACAGGCGTAAACTGAAAACATTTGCAGAAAATACAGAGAAAATTCCCACAGGGTTAGTTCAGTTACACAGCCATGGCGGGCCAGGATCCCAGGGTTACTGTGCGCTCAGGATCACGTTCAGTGGACTCCTATAGCGTGAGAGTCAAGATCATGTTTTAGAAATTCGAACTTCCCTTTAAACGGCCTTTTGGCAAATCTTTTTTTTAACCTGTTTTCTTCGGCTCACTTTTCCAGATCTACTCCCCATCCCAAGGTCAAATATAAAATGCTGTCTGTATACTTTCTAGCAGCAAGGGTCAGCAAATTCTTTTCTGAAAAGGGCCAAAGGTTTTTAGCTTTGCAGGCCTTACTCAGCTGTGCCCTGTGATGGGCACGAAGCGTACACGAGTGTGTGGGTGGTGACTGAGGCTGAGCCCTGCTGGACTTGAGGATGTGCTCGATCGTACCTGCAAGGGTGACTTTGCCTTTGGATGTTAACTTACGTTGGAAGCTTGTAGAAATACTATTTATTCAGTGCTTTACTGTCTGATATCAGAAGTGGGGTCATCGACTTGGTTATTACCTGCCCTCTGATCTTGGAAATAACCAAGATCTTAGGGCCCCTCTCGACTGAGGCCCAGAATGAACAAGCCCTGGATGCTCCAGACACAGACCCGCTTTCCTAGAATGTGTCCCCCGCTGTGTGAGAAGAGAATTGAAACTGGCTTCCAGGGCCTGTGCTCGCCACGCCCCTACACTGTATGCTCCTGTCTGTCCTCACATGATGAAAACTGACAGACTGCTTAGCAGTTGGTTAGGATAATCCCCCAGGCTTTTTTTTTCTTTCTTTTTCTAGAAGATCCCATCTGAGATTAGAGTCTTCAGGGGTGAGCACTGGCTGTCAGTGGAAGGTTTGAGCAGCATCGTAAACTGCAGGCTTCAGCTCAGTCTCCCCAGAGGTGGGGAGCCCTCCGCGGGTGTCTGTTCCGTGTGCGCACCGCTGCTGCCTGCTCCCTGCTCAGGAGGCTTTGACCGCAGGCCCATTGGGCACGGGGCGGGGTGTGTGTGTGTGTGTGTGTGTGTGTGTGTGTGAGTGTGTGTGTGTGACTCGGGGACCTCGAAAGAGCTCACAGAGAATCCACTGTGAGCTCGGTGATGAAAATCATACTGAACTATAGAGATGTATTTAGATAGAGGCTTCCTCAGTTTTTTCTTAATTGAAAAGCTCAAAGGAACATACAGTACAGCTTTGGGCAAGTTTTAAAGTCTTCGCTTCATGCCTCTGTTTCAGGAAATAAAAGCATTAGCTTATCACAGTAGCCAAGTTCAGGTGGGTTGACAATGCTAGTTAAACGTGGTTTTTAGTAAATAACTAGTTTAATTATCTAGTAATATATATTCCAGTTTTATATAATGAGAGGTGAATATATTACTTTTTTTCCTTAAATTTTTTTGTTTTTATAAGATTTTCTGGACAGAAAACAAACTAAAGGACGGAACACCCACAGAAAACACTCTAGTTACCTTTAAAGCAGAAAACTCCTGCAGGGAGATTTCTGTTTTTCAAAGGCCATACGCTGTCAAGTGAAGCAAGCTTGTGACTGGGCGGACTGAAAGAATGCCAGCCGTGGCCCAGCCCTGGACCCCGCCTGCGGCCCGGAGCTGTACACTCGGCGGATCCGGGGCTTGGGGTAGTTGTGTGCCACCCCTGTTTTCCAGGAGGGAGGAAAAGGGCCACTCTGTCTAGCGTGAGTGCCCGAAGTAATTTTGTAGTCTGTTACGCTTTTCAGTTATGGCTTAAAACCCGATAAAAATGTTTATTTTTTCTGCTGCCAAGTGTATGGTCCGCGAACGATTATAGACTGTTATTACCCTTTCAAAAAGGAGGTCTCGGGAATTGGTGGTAGTTCTGTGTGATCACACCTGTGGAGGGAGAGCAGGCAGGTGGGGGCCCGCGTCGCTGGGGGAGACCCGGCTGCCGGCAGCTCCTCGCGTGGCTCCGAGTCCGGGCTGGGAGGCAGCCGAGGGCGACAGGCAGGCCAGCGGGAGAACCAGCACGGCAACCCGGGGACGAGGGCGCAGCCCTGCCAGACCTGGGCCGAGAGCAGGAGGGCATCTTCACGGGCCTCCGGGGACCGTGCCGGCCACAGGAAGCAGGCAGGCGACGCTCAGGTGTTGAAGGAGCGAACACGGCTGTGGATGAGGCGCCTCG